TTTGTCAACATTTTTTTTTGTCTTTTTATATTAAATTAGTTCCAACCATTCTTTTTAAACCACCAATGTTGGTCCCAAGCATGAATGAAAGCCATTGATAGTATTTTTAAAATTGTTAGCTTGTTTCCATACATAAAATTTCATGCTCTACTCTTGTATTTGCGGATCAATATTGATGTTCATCACCCTCATTGTTTCTCTATTAGTTTCTACTATACTCACATGACCAAACATACGATCTAGACTTTGTAATCATGGTTTCTCCAGTCAGGAGGGAGGTGCATTTTTTTAATATTCACATACATAATGGATTATTTCAATGTGATTTATTCCTTTTTTTTTATTTATTTTTCATTTGAAAACTTATGTTTCTTTTGAGCTCATTTTATCTATGTATAGGCGAAACTCTATGCAATATCATTGCAAAGAATATGCAATCTAATTAAAACTACAATTTGTTTAGCTTGCAACATTCTCATCAGACAATACATAATTTGGAATATATTAGTCAATTCCACTAGTTTAACCGTGAACTAATTCAAAGGCTGATCTGATCAACTGAAATAATTGGTTTCACTTTTAATAATAAATAATTTATTCAAACTGCCAATTCAACTGGTGAATCATCATCGATTCAATGGAATTGCCCAGTTTAATAGAAGATCATATAATTATAGTCAAGCTTTGGTCTATTAAATAAAAGTATTAAATTTAATTATATACAACAAAACCCTATTTTCCTATTAAACCATTCCCCAATTCAGCAAAACCCATAGGCCCCTTCTCTTGTATGCGACTTGCTTGCAACACTACAGGAAAATCACTCATTACCGAAGAAATTTTCTGGAGGCTTTCCGGCGATTAATTTTCCCGAACGGCTTTCCCAGCTGAAAATCCCATCGACGACAACTTTTTTCAGTTTTCTTGACAAGTTCTTCTCCACGGAAATTTCTCGACAAATCTTCCAACAGCTTCTCCTCATTCCAGTATTTCGTTTGCAAAATTTTATAAATTTAATGGTCAATATGATTGTAAGAGTTTTTAGCTCTTCTGTCTAAAGATGATATTAAATAAATATGATTAAAAAGAATCGTTAGATTCATTTGCCTTAATTAAGTAAATTATTTCAATAAAAATTATTTTTAAAAATTATTTTTATTTTTTTAATTAGTAATTTCTGTAGTATTTTAACGTTCATTATTAAGTTAAACTAATTTGTTTTATATTTAAATTCTCTCATCTAAATTTCTTAATAACTTCTTACACTTATTTTCATTCTTACAACATCTAAATCAGTAATCTCACTTCAACTTTCATTTTTATACTTCACTCATCTTAATTTTTTTTCTATATTAAACCACCACTCTCATCTCTTCTACACCTTTTATTTATAATTAATTTTCTGTCAACGACTTACTTTAAAATTAATAGAAACATTAACAAATCACGTATTCTAACCTCTTCAGGACTTCCGGTTCAACTGTCGCAAACTTCTCATCACTGCTTCAAAACCCCCTTGCAGACCCGCACGCCGAGTGGTGAGCTATGTCCTGGAACAAGTTTGGCCAAACGCACAGGAGTAGTTACCTACCTCTTACTACTGCGTTAATTCTCTAAAACTACAATTTGTTTAGCTTTCAACATTCTCATCAGATAATACATAATTTTTTAATATCACTCCCACAATTCAACTAGTTTAACCGTGAACAAATTCAAAGGCTGATCTGATCAACTGAAATAATTGGTTTCACTTCTAATAATAAAAAATCTATTCAAACTGCCAGTTCAACCAGTGAATCATCATCGATTCTATGGGATCACCCAGTTTAATAAAAAATCATATAGTTATAGTTAAGCTTTGGTCTATTAAATAAAATTATTAAATTTAATTATATACAACAAAACCCTATTTCCCTATTAAACCATTCCCCAATTCGGCAAAACCCATAGGCCCCTTCTCTTGTGTGCGACTTTCTTGCAACCATGGAAAAATGAGATTGTAGACTTCTTTCATTAGTGACGGTGCTTCAACGGTGTAATTTTAAGTTCTTGTGTTCGTGTCTCTTCCTTGTTTGCATGCTGGCTCTTTCCTCCTTTACCTCAAAGGTACTTTGCTAGTTGTTCAACCTCTTCTAAATTTGCTAAAGGATGTAAACGATGGTTTTCTCCTCCTTTATCCCCTTATATAGAGTAGTCATTACTCCTTTGTAACGCTCTAAGACCTAAAGGGCAAATTTACCCACTTTTTTTTTTAATTCTCAATCCAAATTTTTATTTCTGCAAAGCCATATAATAATCCAAAATAATATAAAATACACATCCAAAATATGCATATAGAATAATTCATCTAAAATACTTAAATAATAATAATTCAAAATACAATGATTAATTACAATAAAAGAATTAAATACATTCTGAACTACAAAATCATATATACTTTACAAAATCAAACTCCATGCTCCTTATTTGACTCAATATAATCTGCGAAACTTTTTCCTTTGTCTGAAATATTTTCAGCTGCAGAATGAGCATGAAACTCAGTAGGTCAACCATTTTTCCAATATCAGAGTTCAATTCACAATTCATCATTAAAATAAAGAAACAATAAAATAGATGTTTACTCTACAATATTTGAAATCCTAGATCATATATTAATATGAATGCATAAAAGCATATGTATAAATACCCACTTATAAATGCCATTTATCACCTCCCACCTGCTTAAGGCAGGTGTAGAGTAAAGCCAGAATAGAGCAGAGTATATTCAAACACAGAATCTTCTTAGAGCTAGAGCAGAATATAGTGGTCTAGAACAAATATACATTTACATTGGGTTCAAGAGTAGAGTTTAAAGTGTAATTTCATTTTCATAATAGAGCTTCAAAATGCTATGCAATGCATGATGATGATAATGTAATATACAACTGAGGGATTTAAAGCATGCACATATTAATTACCAGATTTTATATAAAAAATCCCAATTTTGGATGCCCATTTGAATTTCATAAAATTTTATCAATTTCACAGAGAAATACTAAATTAACACACTTTGCCAACTCTAATGGGGTTCAGAAGTGACACAATCCTCTAAAAATTTTATAAATTCATTTAGAGCAAACCAAATGGTGAATTGCCTAGAATAGAGGGGGTATTGATATACTAAAATTTATTTGTTGAAATTTTTTTCAAACTCAAGAAAAATACATTTATAACCATTTATTTCTATAAACATTTTGGAATTGAAATCAGAAATAGAGTATGAGTTGCCTACCTCGAGCCTGACAATTTTTCTAATCGGTTGAATGGACGATTTTTGAATTTCGACTTCCAAAATCCTTCCTTTCTTTTCCCTTTCTTCTCTTCTCCTTCTTTGATAAGATTGGCTAGAGGAATGAGATAGTCAAATGTATCTGGATATTTAAATATTTAAAACTCACTAATTTGACCTATTGAAGTTGTGCTCATCTCCCGAGTGTACTGTGATCGCAGAGAATCTTTCAAAATCTCTTATAATACCCTCACATGAGACTCGACACAGTGGCAACCGTTCCTAGTATAGTAGCAGGCTCCCAAATCCCATATTTTCTCCATTTTTCCTAGAGCTCAATACTGAGGTGCTTCTCATAGAGCAAATTTTTCCACTTGCATTTTCACTTCTCTAATCTCAAACCTTGGTTACCTACAACCCCATTAAACATTCTAAGACTTATAATTGCTAATCAAATTAACTTTAACAATCATTAATAGACATTTACCTGAATATTGATGGCGGAAATTCCAACCTCCAACATCATCATATAGTGTCCAAAAATTTATCTCACATGGAATCATTTTATTGAGTCTAAGAGTGCTTGTGGATAAAGTAATACAAGTGTTTGCATTGTGGAGCTATATATAAAAGTGGAGATATTAATATAATAAAGCAACAATTTAATGAAGTTAAGAGAAATATTACTCTATATAAGAAAGTAACTTTCACAAGATGCTCATTATTAAAAACCAAAAAATCTAAAAGAAATACCTCATAGAAGTAAGAATCACAAGCCAAAAAAGAAAAAAAAAAGAGTACGCTCTAATATGGTGATAATGATAATAAAGATAATAGAGGTTCTTCTCATTCAAAGTCACAAAGTTTGATCACATATGACAAATGATTAAACGAGGGAAAAGAAAGCTTGATGATATGGAAAATTACTTTGCTCTTAGAATTATGTATGTATCACATCATCTTTAATTTTGTTGGCATCAAAAAAGACTATGCATCTGTTATATGTTTTGTTTTTGATAGTTGCATACTAACCAATATATTGAATTTGCCATCACTACTAAAACTCCAAGTTTTTTGCTCTTAGGATGATTAGTTTGACCTTTACTATTTGTAGTTGTAGTTGATAAAAAATTAGTGTTGGAAAAAGTGCTTTAAATGTGGATTTATATGTTATTATTATTCACTCAATTTATATTTGTATAGAATTTTATCAATATTTTTATTTTGATCATAAAATTATTATTGGCATTAATTTTTTTTAATCCGTGTTACCATTTAGCAGCGATTTTAACCCTTGATAAAAGCGCTCTTAAAATCTTCCTACAACAACACTCATAAAACCACTGCTAAAGCCTTTACAACGAATGAAAATACAACGGATTTGTAGCAGTTAATAAATAGCTGTAAATAAATTAGTAGGTGTTTAAATCACCTTAATAAGTCATAAAAAATACTGTGGAAGCTTACTATGAGATTGCAAGGAAGGGTAGGATACTGATTAAGACTTTTAGATGTCATTAGAAAGAAATTGATTGCACTTTGATGGTTGATTATTGAATACTTGACAATAATAGAATTTTGATTTACTTCTTAGTTTATTGTCCACAATTTTTATTTTTTATTTAAATTAATCGATGCCTTTGATATTGATAAGCATGAAATTACTTTATATTCTTTATGTACTAAAATTGTTCTGTTGGAGATGCCCTAACGCAGCTAATGGTCCCTTCCTCTCGCTCTCTTCCATTTCATAAGCCATATCCCCGTGTTTCCGCGATCCTCAAGACTCACTATCTCCACCGGCCATCTCCGGCCAACATCACTTGCGGCGGCGGCGCCACCGCCGGAACCACATCGCCGGACGACATTGCCGATCTCATCCTCCGGCAGAAATCCGCTGCACTGTCCCTAAGCACCTTTCGGTGGGCCCTTCGCCTCCCTTCCTTCACCCCTACACCCTCTGTCTACCAAGCCCTGATCCGCTCCCTTCTCTCCTTCCGCCGCCTCGACACCGCACTCCAAGTTCTCTCCGACCTTCCCTCCCCACCCGACGAAGCTACCCTCGTCGCTCTGTTTCGAGCGCTAGGCCGCGCTGGCATGACTCATCGCGCTCTCCAACTGTTCGACGAATTGCCTGAGCGGTTCAACTTACCTAATCCACCTTCCCTCAAGGTCCTCAACTGTATTCTCGATCTCCTCGTCAAGGAAAACATTGATCGAAGCAGACATTTCTTTCGGAAGAAAATGAATGGCCAAGGAGATGATCGCACTTTTGGCATTCTTATGAAGGGCCTCTGCCGTACCAATCGCATTGCCGAAGGATTCAAGCTGCTCGCGTTAATGAAAACGATTAGTTTGAAGCCTAACCCGGTGATCTACAATACCCTTATCCATGCGCTCTGTAGGAACGGGAAGGTTGGGAGGGCTCGAAGCTTGATGGCTGAGATGAACAACCCAAGCGATGTCACCTTCAATATTTTAATCTCGGCTTATTGTAGAGAGGGTAGTTTGGTGCAGGCGCTGGTTATGTTGGAAAAAAGTTTTGATTTTGGGTTTGTTCCTGATGCCATTGCAGTGACTAAGATTGTTGAACTGCTTTGTGGCCATGATAGGGCTATGGAAGCAGTGGAAGTTCTTGATAGAGTGGAAAAGAGGGGAGGCCTTGTTGATGCGGTAGCTTATAATACATTGATCAAAGGGTTCTGTGAAGTGGCAAAGCCAGAGGTTGGGAGGAGGGTTATGAGGGAGATGGAGAGGAAGGGTTGCCTCCCTAATGTGCAGACTTACAATGTGCTCATTTCAGGCTTCTGTGAATCAGAGAAAATGGATTCCGCAATTGATATTTTTAGAGAGATGGAGATGGATGGCATTAGTCCAGATTTCACAGCATATGATGCATTGATTAGAGGATTTTGCTCAGTAGGAAGGGTTGAAGATGGAGTAAAGTTATTGAATTTGATGGAAGAAATAGGTGGAGGGACTGTCAATCACATTTGCCCTTACAACAATATCTTATATGGTTACTACAAGGAAGGAAGAATGGAGGAAGCCAATGAGTTTCTTCAAACAAGAATGGGAGGTTCTTTTCCAAGAGCCAAAGAGAAGAGCTTGAGGATATTGAACTTTTGTAATGATGATAGGATTGAAGAAGCTCTGTTGGTTTATGAGGAGATGGTCAAGGAAGGAAGTTTTCTTAGCGTTCTGGTTTATGTTAGTTTGATCCAAGGGCTGTGCAAACAAGGAGAAGTGAAGAAAGCATTTGACATGATGAATGTGATGATGGAGAAGGGATTCATCCCATTAGCTTCGACTTTCAACTATTTGATTTGTTGTTTCTGCAATGCAGGAAGTTTTGTGAGTGCTTCAAAGCTTCTTAAGGAGATGGAGAGCAGGAAATGCTCATCTGACAGTAGTAGCTACAGTCCTTTAATATGTTATCTTTGCGAGGATGGAGAGTTTGAGAAGGCTTATGGCTTTCTCATGCAAATGGTTGAAAAGGGCTTGACTCCTGATTATTGTATATGGAAATGTTTGGCAATGGTGATTGATCAATAATGGGGTGAAAAATAATACACAGAAATATTTCTTTTGAAAAGCTTGTCAACTAGAGGCTTTCTCAATCAATATAAAATGCTGAAGCTAAGTTTGTAACAATTAAATAAGTAGTGCATCACGCAAATCAACATATGGAAGGCTGGAAGCTAATGATTGTCATCACAAATGAATGAACTAAGTAGATACACAATTATATGTGTACAAGTGTGTGACATAAACAATAAAATATGTAATATATTAAGAGTCAGCAATCCAAATAATGTATAATAATATTGATATATTTCTTACTTGTTGTCCGCCTGTACGCAGTTGTGACTCGCGATTTAATGTTGACTGAAGCCAATGCTGGAGTCCTGTTGTCCCACCGTCGGCCTCTTTTCCTCGCCGCCTCTCCCTCTCCCAATTTCCTGCCGCTTGAAACCGTTGTGGCATCGCCGATTGTCCGAAGTCCAAACCCTAGCCAGCTAGCCTTAACCCGACGACCTACCTGTCCCTCTCCCGCTGCCTGAAGCCAACACCTCCACCTCTCCCTCTCCTTTTAGCCGACCCCGCTGACTCTCCTTGCTCCCGATGATACTGCTGTTCCTCGCCGCCTCCCAACGACAAATTTACGGGATTTGGCTCATTAGCTCAATAAACATGGCATCAGTTACGGGTCGGGTCGGGTTGACCTGAACCCGAAGTAGGTGGGGTTTTGTTTTGAAAAACTGACCTGTTTTCAAAAACTAGTTGGGTTCGGGTTGACCCGAATAGTGTCAGATCAATTCCGGGTTGGACCCGAAGCCCTATATAGATGGCAAGTAAAGAGAATGTGCAAGTAAACTAAGATCAAGAACAATTATTTATAATAAATATTACATGGTTTAGCCATCCTGTGGTCTATGCCCATGTTTAGCCCAACTCGGTACTATATTGCCCATTAAATTTCATCACCATAAGCTATTCTTCTTCACTCTATTAGTAGGTGGAAAATCCTTCCTACAATACCAACTTTCTCCTTCACAGACAATAGAGATACACCCTATACTTCTATTTCAAAGCAAGATGCAAGCTACTCCTACTCTTTTTCATTAGGCTGTCTCAATGTTCCTGCTTTAAGATTAGGAATCTACCACTATTAGTATAACTCGCTAGGAAATGAAAATATATTTTAGAATCGAGCTAAAACTCTCTTAAGCTTTGGATTTGACTCATTTACTATAGCCTACAACTTTGATCTACACAATCCAAAACACAATGATTGAAATATACACAATAAGAAAGCTAGAACATGTAAACTATGAATGAGAAAGAGCACTTTACAAAGAGCCAAGAGGAGAGAGTTCTAATGATGATGAACACTCGAAGCTTTCTTGTATCCCTTTTTTCAAAGATGTGGAAATTAAGCTCTCCAATTGTTCATTTCATTATTAGTTTTCTTGTGAAAACTAATGGGTATATGTAATCATTATTATTGTTGAAAATGTGTTCAACCAACAATTTTTCATTGCCATTATCAAATTTATCATAAAATAGCGATATAATAAAATATAGAAGATGCAATCTCTAGATGATCGTAATATATGGTATTCATTATGCTATATGACCAGTATTATTTTAAAGAATTAAAAGAGTTAACTGATAAATTTGTTGTTAATTATTGTCTATAACTACTTTGAGGACGAGTACTTGAGTTTGCTTGATCCAGGGATTAGTAATGGCTTAACATTCTATAGTAATCAAGGGTTCCTTGATTTCTAATGATTTGAATATTAGCTTATTTGTAGGGGTGTCAATTTCGGGTTACGGGTCAGAATCAGGTTGAACCCGAAACTATTAGAGTCAACCCAAACCCAACCCACTTTTACATACTGGTCTATTTTTTGGACCCGAACCAGACCCGCTTCGGGTTCCGGTCAATCTGGCCTGACTCGCTTCGACTTCAGCAGCGACATAAATCGCGCGACTTCGGTGGCCGGCGTTCGGCTGAGACATCGCGGGCAGCCGGCGTTCAACAGCGGCAGCGGACAGACGTGGTCACGCGAGGCTCGGCAGACACGACAACGCGGTAGACGCGACTGCATGGCAGGCGGGCAGGCTATGCAGCTCGATGCACGCGAACATGCTACTTTCGCAGGCGGGGCAGTCGAGGCATGCAGGAAGACGGCAAACAGGTTTTTTCGGTCATTCAGGCCATCCCTGGAGCTTCCGGTCAAACCAAACCCGGACCCGATTTGCAAAGGGTCAGTTATTTCCGGACGTACATGCCGAACCCGACCTGCTTCGGGTTCGGGTCAACCAAATCCGAAATTTTTGGATCGGGTCCAATATATATTGACACCCCTCCTACCTTATATGTCCTTTCTTCAATCCTAGTTCATGTTATTTGATCTTGTGCTATTTTTGACAACCTTTATTCCTTCTTTATCTTTATTCATGTTATCCGATATACCTCTAATGCGAGTACATGTTATTGGATTTAGTTCTTGATACGCCTTAAAATTTTATCGTGTGATATCTTGTAAACTCTCTCTAATATACTTACCCTGAAATGCTACTTTGATTCAACATATGCTGTCAGTTATATCTGATTGGGATCCAGAAGTCTCTTTCTGTTATGTGTAATGGCGATCAATGGGTGGGCTTCAACTTTTTTTGTACCTTTAGCTATTTCTATCCTAATGCTATTTTATAGATCTTTCTTATTGTGTTGGGGGACTCAACCTTCTTCCTATTTTATATAGCTCTTGGTGGTCACTTGGGAAAAGTTATTACGTCCGGACAAAAAATCGGAAATTTGGATGAATACCGAGTGATACCGAGTGTTCGATCGGTACCGAGCGCCCAGGTGATGTGGCGCTCTGTTATTGATCTCTGGATGTGTTCGGTGTCCGGACACAATAATTACTCCACTTGGAGGGCAATGTTGGTAAGAACTATCATATTTTTGGTTAGGATATTCTCATGCAAATTTGGTTAGGATGAGATTGAATCTCTAAATTGCCCTATTGGTGTCTGATTAATTTAGTCTCAGGTCGTCTTGTTGTTTAAATTTAATCCCTTGACTATATCAAATTGATTCAAAATGTTGTCTCATGTTGTAACTGTGATCTAAAATTGACCTAAATTTAATATCTCGACTATATAAAGTTAATCCCAATTTAGCTCTGAGGGGATCATTTTGGATCAATTTTGTATGTCAAAACCTTTTAACATGTTTGAGAACATTTTCTATTATTATTATTATTATTATTATTTTACTATGAAATTAAAGTATGTTTAGTGTTCTAAATAAATTTGTTTTGTTTTATTGTAGTAGTCGATGATTGCAATGACCAATGGCCGGCGGCGACGAGTGGTGACTTTGGAGTATTTTAAGAAAATAGTTTGGTTTATTAAAAAAAAAGCTAGAAACCCAAATCAAATCTATATTTTGAAAAATAATTAAAAAAATAAAAGAAAGAGTGATTCCAAATAACTCATAGGCTTCATTTGTGATCTCTTTTGGGTACTATTTTGTTGCTACTTTAAAAAAAAAAAATTTGTACTAAATAGTTACTTTAGAAAATATAAGAAAACTTTCATCGTTTGGACAACTTTCTAAAGCAATTTTTTAGTTCAATTTTTTTTAAAAAAGTCATGAAAATACAGCGGCCAAAAGCAATCCCACACGAAGCCTTAGTTGCCCCAAGTCTCATTACAAATTGACATGTTCTTATTAGGCATGATTGGCTTTCATTTGGTTGGAATTTTGATATGGATTTGTTCCTTTTAGTTGTGATATGACAGATGATGTGGTGGCTTCTGCTCACCCCCCTTTTACCCGGGCTTGCTGTGCTGGCAACCTCTGGTGGTGCTTATGTTATGTTATGTGGCCTTTGTTTGGCTTGTGGTTTGATGTTGGTTCCATTGGCTCTTTCATCTGTTTTGGGTTGTTGCATGCTACATCGTCTGGGTGGCCTTTGCTTAGCTTATGGGTGGTGGCAGGATGCCTTTGCTTATTCCTGAGCCCGATTTGATTTTCGACATCTTTTTTCTCCTTCGTCGGGTCCTTTTTCTTTTATGGGTGCCTTAATTTTTCAAGATTGTTTCTAACTTGATATTTCTATTTTTTCCTGCTTTTTGAATGGCTTGTATTCGCCTTTTTATTGTATGGAAAATAAATATATGGTCGTTAAAAAAAGATTGACATGCTCTTACTAAAAAAGGGTCAACTATTTTTCTTTTTCTTTGCAAAGCTAGTGCTTTTTCATCTAATACAGGAACAATTATTACGTCCTCCGACCGGATGCAGAGGAACATCCGGTTGTAGGCAAAATTCCGCATATACCGAGGTGTACCGAGTTTTTGAGATATAGGCGGGATTTTGCCTACAACCGATGTTCCTCTGCATCCTTACACCGGACCAAATAAAAAGTTCCTAATACAGTGGGCCTAATAAGCTGGCATGTTCTTTTCTTTTTTCCATCAATGCATGAAGGAAAAAAAGACATCTTTTTGTTCTCTCAAGTCTCAACT